TCGATCCAATTTAAAGGATGTCCTGAAGGACTTTTTTTTTTTTTTTTTTTAAGCAGTCTTCTCCTGATTGGGGGACAGCTATATATCTATATATATATTCTCTCACCTCACATAATTTTAGCTGGCGTTCTGCCATCATGATGTCATGGAACATATCTTTTTATTCTTTTTCCTTTCACGACCTACCACTGCTTGTTAAAAAAAAAAAACTGGCATTTTATTGTAAAATCACGAAATTGAATTTAGTGAAAATTGATTAGATTTTTTTGTGTAAAATAGTGACTTCCATTTGGTATTAAGTGATGTCTACCCTCAATCAATACAAAGTGGAAGTCGCGATTTGCAACAGCCATTTCGTCAAAACGGACATATTATATTTCTTGAACGAAATTAAAATTGAGTTTTTGGGCCGAAATCCAGTCCAAAATTTTGGCACCTGGGGGAGATGTATCTAGTCTCAATTTGCGACCAGATACATCTAGGGGGTCCGGAGTTCTAGGAACGCCAGACCTCCAGGAACCATAAACTCAATTTTAATTTCGTTCAAAAAAATATAATATGTCCGTTTTGACAAAATGGCTGTTTTACCAAAAAAAAATAATCAAATTTTCACTAAATTCTTTTTTTTTTCTCTTTTTTTTCTTTTTTTTTCTAAAGAAAATTCCACCGCTGACAACAGATAGGAGGTGATGATAAGAGCATGCACTCCTACCTGTCTTGCAGGGTGACCCAGCCTATTGGTGGGGAGCTACACCTGCTGGAAAGCAGGTCCAGCTTCCCCTCAGGTACAATCTTGAGATGGCACGCTCTGGGAACCGGGCCGGGCCCGGCCCAGCGTCCCTTGAAGATGCTGATGATAATGACCCATAATCATCATGATCATGATGATGCTATGATCTTCTATAGACAGCTATGAAGTTATGAACTACTTCAGCGACACCAGGTCTCACCATCCATGAGCAACTCCCAGAGTCACGGTCCCAGGCTCTCCTTTGCGAGACTCAACTCTCTAAAGACTAAAGACAATACCCTCCTAACCAAAACCAGCCATAGCTGTCATGTTCGCACTACCAAGGTCCAAGGCTACCTTCTTCGCCCGAGTACAACGTACGGTCATTATAGCTGTATCTAGACTGAAAGATGCCTCAAGTACAGCTATATTCGGGGGAAGAAGGTAACCCCAGCCCCTCAGGTTGTCATGGCAGGCCCCCCCCGTTGGCCACTGGATTGCCTTTCTCCCTCGACGAAGCCCTAGATCTGTCTACCAGGCCTCACGCTCCTGCTAAAGACAGGTCACAGGGCTACGCCCCAGCACCCGCCAGCGTCATTCTGGCATCGGCAAACCAAGAACACTAAACACTAGTACAGCTACGCCAGGTGTCGGCCAGAATTCTACCCTCTCTAAAATCCTGTAATATCTGAAATGAGAAGAAACCGGATGTTGCCTAGGATTGTAGTAGGAAAGCCAGCTGAGGTTGGATCATTAGTCTTGTACTATGCTAGCCCTGGATCTTTAGAGACAGCTGCACTAGTGCGTAGAAATATAATGTATCACACGATAAAATTCCCCCCCCCTCCCCCTCCCCCTCCCCCTCCTCCCCTCCCCCTCTCCTGCCGCTGCCTCCGCTGAAAACGACCGCCCAATCATGCAGACACTCCTTGTCGACCCCAACTTGGGACAGTCCCACTCCCACCCTTATTTCCACAAAGGCATCCAGTTCCCACCAAAAGTATGCCTCTGCCTACCCTTTACCCTAGTCTGCCCCCGCTGGAATATGATGCCCCCCCTTACAGCTGTCCCAGCCCCACAATAGAGTAAATTTCACTGAATTCAACTTGAAGTTCATTTTTTTACAATTTTTGTTTTACAAAAAAATGTCAGTTTTAACAATTTATATAATAACAAAATATCAGTTACTGACAAAACCAGCCTGTCACCCTGATAGTATCCAGCGCTCAGTCCTTGAACCACTGCAGTACTTCCTAAAGTTGTGCCCGTTAACAAGCCCACAAGTTTAGGAAATGGATGGGCCATGCAGGAGCGCCCAAATTCATCCAACTAGAAACGTTT